CAGGGGCCCCTGAGGCTCAGAGGAAGCAAGTGAATTCCCCAAGATGGCCGCCTCAGTTTGTGTTAGATCTTGGACATAAACCCTCTGCTTCCAAGCCTGACACATCTCATTCTGTGGGACCCCCAAAAGCCCTTGGTGAGTGACTAAATTGTGAATTGCTGCGATATACTTGACCAAAAGTTTTATTACTAATACAATTGAAGATAAGATTAATCTCCATAATTACTGTAATTCACAATTATAACATGACTCTCTTCTTGCTCAGATATTTAAAGTATGATAATAATCAGATATCTTAGTTAATAACAGCAATTAATAATTTTAAATTGTTGAGTCTATACTCCAAGTGGAGCTGTCAGTGCTTTAGGTAAGGGGGCACAGTGAATCTCTGTAGCAGTTCAGGCATAGATAAATATTAGCCCCATTTTACACATTTGGAGATCAGATATCATAGAGATAAAGGATCACCAAAATTCATGCAGCTAGTAAGTGGCAGAGCCAGGACTCAGACACAAATCATGAGCATGTGACTTCTCACTTCTTCAGCGTATCCATCTCTGGGAGTGTGCGCCAAATGCTGGTTTAGTCCCGGTGCTCCAAGCCCATCTTTCTCCAAGTTCCTTCTTTGCCAGGCCCTGGTACATCAGGAATACACAACACTGTGAGGAAATCAAGTCCTGCCTGAATGTGCCTCACTTTTTACAACAGTGACTAAATGTTAGGAAGTTTTTGAGACAATCTGGGGAGCCTGGAACTTCTAAGTGGAAACAAGGAAAAGCATCCGCAGGGCCCGCTATCTTCAGAGTCTCTGGAGAGCCACATCAAAGGAATCGGAGCCTGGTACCTTTGATGAAGGAATGAACAGGAAATTATCAGTCTCCTGCTGACACGGACAAAGACAAGAAAAGGCTCGCTGGGGCCTCACCTCTGTCTGGATTGGAACGGGCAAGAAACCAAAAAGGGTTTGATTTATCCTGACTCCAGAGCAGCCCTGAACCCTGGCTTCCTCCCTTGAAGAACAAGGCAGTGAAGGAGAGGTGCGGCAAGTTAACACAAACACCCAACTTTTGGCTGTCTGGCGGAACTGAAGCTTTCAGTTTAAGCTGTCAGTGGGTTCTCTTTTTTATCCCATTCTTCTCTTTTCCTTTTAAAATCTAAACTGTAATCACACAATACTCCACCCAAGTGCTTGATATGGATTTCTGAGACAGATCCTAACAGAGTCATAAAAATTACCCTCTGAAATGTGCACTTTGTACTGTGTCTGTGTGTAGGTGTGTTTAAAATGTCACAAACTGGAATGTCTAACACTAGTTTCCAGGAATTAATCACTTAGAAGAATGAAAGGGGGAAATTAACTTGCTTTAACACTTACAAGACTCTCCAAAGCAGTTGCCAAAATAGAACTTGCTGAATAGAAGTATGGTTATCTTTACGTAAGAACTAGACTCTCTCTCTCTCTCTCTCTCTCTCTCTCTCTCTCTCTCTCTCTCTCTCTCATTTGTTCATTTTCTCTTGAAAATTGCTTTGCAGAGTTTCCCTTTAGGGATTTGCTGCAGGTCACAGATGTACTGAAATTTTTTAAAAAATGAATTTATTTTGTCTTTTTAGTTACAGTTCAACTATTCTTATTAAATTTATACATTTGTAGGATTACTTCCACTATCCAGTTTTAGAACATTTCCATTACTCATCAAAGTTCCCTTGTGTCTCATTTTGTTGTCAATTTGTGTTTATACCCTTAACGTCCCAGTAAACGTGGATCTATCTTCTGTCTTTACAAATTTGCCTGTTCTCAACATTTCCTATTAATGGATGTTATGGGTTAAAATTAGATGTCTCTGGTGTGCTCCGGGCACTCATGGGGCAGGGCTTTCTGGAGGCTACTGGATCTAGATTGTGTCTGTACCAACTGGGGTGTGTGATAACTGGGTCAGTCCACTCATTGAATCAGCATAGTTCTGGGTGTGGTTGAGTGGATTTACTGAACACAGAATGTCAGTCTTTGGAGTGGGTGGCTTCAACTAATAGCCTAGTAGTTTGAAAGGACTAAAGAGAGGAAGAGAGGCTTGCTACCGCCATTTCCTGCTTCCTGCCTGCCCTGCCATGGACTATTTTACTTCTACCATGATGCCCTCCCTTGGAGCAAGCTGACTACAGTGTGCAGCCTCGACAAACTAAACTGAAATAAACATTCACCCCTTTAATTTCTGGGTGTTGAAGTTTTTATTCCCCCAAGAAAATGTAACTAACACAATGGAACTATGCATATTATATGGTTTCATATCTGGATTTTGAACATGTTTTTAAAGTTCATTCACTAAGTACTAGGCACCAGTATTCCATCCCTTTTAGTTGCTGAACAATATTCCATAGGAATGGATCTATAACTTTTGGTATATCCGTTCATCAGTCGATGAGTATTTGCATTGTTTCCCCATCCTGGCAATTGTAAGAAGCTCTCCCGTGAACATTCAGACAGGAGGTTTTGTAGACATGTGTTCTCTATTCTCTTGAGCAGAATCCCAGGCACAAGAGAACTGGATTTTGCAAAGAAAGACTGACGGCAGTGTGCACTAGGTTCCTGGGATTCAAGGAGGGCAATGTCAGTGGAAACTTAGCCAGCATTTTTTTTTAATTTTTTTATTTTTTGGTATTTTAGGGAAGGGTCTACAGGGTCTTCATGGTCTCACTACTAGATCAGACTCCTAGTGATCCACCTACTTACAGCCACCCAAGAGCTGAGATCACAGGTGTGCACTACCATGCCCAGTCTCAGCTCACCCTGGGGTGGGCCGGCACAACAGGCCCATGGATCGAATCCGGCCCCTGAGCCTGCTTGCAGGTGCTTTAATCTGCTGAGCTATTTGGCCAGCCCTTTATCCAGCATTTTTAAACTTACTTTTTAAAACTCACTCATGCTACTACTGTTCATGAAAGGGATGGTCTAAAAACCAGCTGCTGTCATTTGATGAAGTCTGGACAGAAAGCAGAGGTCCATTTCCAGCTAGTGGCAGATTGCAGGTAAGCAGGACCACCCTGAGGTGTGGCTCAGAAGCGGAATAAATAAAACTCTCCGTGAGCATCTTACTTGTGTTCGTGGGCTGAGGAGGACTGCGCTTTTCTTGTTTCCTCTATGCCCACGTGGGGGAAAAATAAAATGGAAAAATTCAGCCAACAATTTGGAGCCAAACAAGAGCAAAGCTGAAGTCCGACCCTCTTCATTCTTCACCACCCTTTAGATGGTCACCACGTGCAGGCTTTTGGTGGACTTTGAGAATGTGCTCCGTTTGAGGGCTCAGTGGCCCATCACAAGTGAAAGCCAAAAAAAAAAAAGGGGGGGGGCGAAAAGGTGAGGCCGACCTGTGCAAAGGACTCCTGCCCTACCAGAGAGAGCAGGCAGAAGCCTGATGGCCCCACAACTTCAGTCTTGGGGCGGGGCGATGACAGAGTCTAGTTCCCTTGGACACCGACGACGGGGAACTACGGGGGGAGTGAGCAGAAAACCAAGGGAACAATGTGGAGACATCTTTAAGGTGCAGGATTCAGACCCTGTAGCGGGCGGGCACCCACTGAGAGCCTTCCAAAAATGCGCCTGAGAGCAGGTCCTGGGCAGAATGGAACCTCTGGAGCAGCCGGGGACCCAGCGGACCATGAGCAGGAGGGTGGGTTTTAGCAGTCTCCTTTCTCCTCCCTCTCGCAACAGGGGTCCCTAACGCACCGCTCTAGGTCTAGCCTTATCTTTACCTCCTGGTTCTGTTTTCTCTAACTCTGCCCCTTCCCGCCCCCAAGCCTTTCTCGCCTGCCCAGCTTTTCCCGGGCTTCTGTCTGGCCTTCCCTCACCTTGCGTCCACACTCCCCGTGCTTCCTGGCGCTTCCTTTTCTTCCCACTTGCACCTGCACATTCCCTCTACCTCTTCTCCATTATCTAGTAAACTCGTCCTGGGCAGGTAACCCGTCCCCACCTCAGAGTGCAGGTCCCCGCAGGTCTCCACGCAAGCGCCCTGCCCAGGCCCTGGCTGGACGCCCAAGATCCCGCCAGGTCTTTCTCCCGGAGGATCCTTGAGGGAGGGCAGGAAGCGGGGTAGGTCTCCTTCTCGAGGTTCCTTCTTGGTGAAGTCTGAGGGAGGACCAGGGAGGAAGATCACCCCAAGTCGCCCCGCAGGCCCTCCCTGCCTGGGAATCGCTGCTCATCAGCCTGAGTCGTTCTGAGGAGACGCTTGGGGGAGGCAACAAGTGACAGCACCTGCGGGTGATACTGGTTTCAGGCTGCAATGGGCATCCAAGAATCTCTGGGGTGGCAGGGGAGCTGGCCTTGGCCAACTCCTCCCTGTGCCCCCTTTGGAAGCGTTCTGCGGGGGCAAAGGGGAGAACCGGGAAAGAGCAGAGTCAGCTCTTCCCGACTCCGAAGCCCTCGGCTTCGCCGCAGACTTTGGGAAGGATGGGGCGTGGAGGCTGAGGGGTGGGGGCTGGGAAGGAGCCGCCGCGTGGAGGGGTTTGCAGAGGGTAGGGTGGGACAGCGAGGGGGAAGCGGATGCGCTCCCCGACTCTCACTGCTCCTGCAATCCACCACCCCGAGGGGTGGCCACGGACTTGGCCTGAGCAGCTGGAGTGGACTTGCGAGGTTGAGGGGAGAAAATGGGGCTCCGAACCCGGGTCCAGCTTCCCTCCGTAGCCCTCCCTGATTGGCTGTGCGTCCCCGGAGCCCAACTTCAGTTGATCCAGACTCCGAGCCCCAACGGAGTCGGAGCGCCTCGACCCCGGGCGGGAAGGGTGGCCGCAGATCCTGGTGGCCCCGCTCCGAACCCCGGGGGGAGGGGCGGGGACAGGGTCTGCCACAGCCCCCGGAGCCGGCGCGCCGCGTCTCGGAGCCCCGGCTGCTCTCCGCCCCCGCCCTCGCCTCCCTCCCTCCCAGTGGCGGCCTCCCTTCTCCTCCCCCCGCCCGCCGCCACCTCCCCCTCGGTTTCTCGTTTCTGCCACTAGCGCGCTCGGCGGCTCATTCCGCGGCCGCGGCCGGCAGAGGGGAGCGACGCGGGCGGAGAAGCAGATGCCGCGGGGGCCGCTCGCAGCCGCCGCTGACTTGTGAATGGGACCCGGTCTGGGGCCGGGCTAACGACGCCGCGCTCGCCCGGCGCAGGGCCGACGGCCCGGAGGTCGCGTCCACCCGCGAGGGCCCCAGGTAGGGCGCTCCGCCGGTCCCTTCGTGTCCTGGATGGGCTCCTCGGAGTCTGTGTGCTGCAGGGATGGGGCGATTTCCTCATTGAGGCTGTCTTGGGAGCGGGGAGGTCGGTATCTAACTAGAGAAGCCCTCACTAGTGTGAAGTGAGTGTGCGTAAAAGATTTGTTTAAAAATCAGAACGGAGAAGGGAGCCAGCTGTGGGCGCAGACGGCCCAGGGGCAGAGGCGCCAGATGCGCGCCCTGCACGCTCCTTGGCTCGGGTCTCCCCGGGGTCTGCGCCTAGGCCCTGACACGGGGGCTTTGCTACCGGCTCGGAAAGAAACTGCAGAGCTGAGTCTGGACACGCCGGCTGCCCCGGGTCGTGTCTCAGGGGAAAGTGGTCCCCAGCGCGGTGCCAGCCCGCCCGCGCTGCGCCCCTTTCCGGAAGCCGCGACAGGACCGCTCTCCGCGAGGTTCCTCCAGGGTGCCCGCGGATCCCCAGAGCTCAGTCCCTCCGGTGGAGATTGCTGGGGAAGACCAGAAAAAGGTGAAGGAGCCAGGGTTAGAGCATACACGCGGAGCGCTTTAGTAGCAGGGTTTGGGTCCGCTGACTGCGGCTGCCGACTGCGGCGTGCGCTCCTGGGCTCCAGCCTAAGTGTCTCCGAGAGCTCCGGGGACCGTTCCTAAGCTCCCAGCAGCCTAGGGGTAGGTCTGCGAACCGCTGAAACTCGGGCCCGGCTTGAGCTTGGGCTTGGCGTTGCTGGCCAGGCTGAGCGTGAACTTTGCGAACCAGACCTTCCCCGAAGCCTGCGACTCCTCTCTGGGAGCGCCGAGCCTGTCCGGCTCGCAGCACGCACGGCCTCACTCCCTGCTCTGAGCCCTGAGAACACGAACCGGGAGGCAGGGAGCACGGTAAAGGCGGCAGGAAAGGGACCTCGGAGAGGAGAGCACCCTTTTTCCTCTCTCCCAAACCCGGCGGAGCTTTAGAAGGGCCGCCTCGGGCTGAGAAGCAGAGTCCCTAGAGAAATTGGGGTCCCGGAGGCCCGCGGGTCCAGCTTCCTATCCCTTTCTTGGCAAGGCCCTGCTTCCTTTGGCCGGGGGCTCCGCGTTCCTGCCTCTCCGGGGTGAAAGGTTTTCTCCACGCTAGAAGCCCTGTTGCTTTTGCTGATAATGCACCAGGAAATGCAGGGGCCACCGCACTGCTTCGAAGAGATTGAGTAAAGCTATTCCGGCAGCACGTCGTGCCCTAAGGGTGTGTGTGTGTGTGTGTGTGTGTGTGTGTGTGTGCGTGTGTGTGTGCGTGTGTGCGTGTGCGTGTGCGTGTGTGTGTGTGTGTGTGTGTGTGTGTGTGGTGGTCCTGAAACCTTATTGTCACAGGATATAGATTTGCCTGAAGTCTTCCTTTCCATTGCCTCCAGAAGAAATCTTGTTCCAGTGATTGTGAAATCTGATTTTCTTCTGCTCATTCTTATCTGTTTAATATGACGTAGAGAGTAAGTTTTCGGTTTAGTCACAGGGAGGCTATGACAATTAATCTGGCGAGAGGCTGGATCAATTTCTTATCACTTGGGCTTGCCGCAGACATCGATGGTTCTGCGGGATGTCTGGGCTTCCCGGGGCTGGGGACGCAGATGCGTTCTCAGGAACAAGGATCCTTGTCTCACATCAGCTCTAGAGCCCTGTGGTAGAGGGGAGGAATAACGCAAGGGCTGACCTTCATTTCATTAAAATGGGAATTATTTCCCTCAGAACAGACCAGAACACAGATGTCACCACCCAACCCCAGCTGCGGGGAGCCGGGTCATCTTCTAGTAGAACAAAGGAGTAAAAGTTGCAAAACAAAGGGACATGGGTAGTGGCCAATTCAGGGGGACTCTGAAGCTACAGCCACATTAAGTTCCTTAAATACAAGCTCTGAGTCCAAGCTTTTATATTGAGTAGGCCCTGGAATTGGACCATTCCTGCAAAACTGAAATCCTGCCTAGTGCGAAGGAACGTGAATAGTTTTCAGTGGGGAACAGGCAGAGGCCTTAGAGGCCAGGAAACTTTGCCTCAGCGACAATGAGCTTTTCATCTGGCCTTTTCCAGTCATGGCAAATTGATACATCAAAACTGTCTTGCTGCCAAACTTTATAATTAATAATAACCTTTATTGATAGTACTTTTGTTGTTATTTCTAAGTCTGTATGCACTGTTGAGTTTATTGTATGTTTTGAGGGGGAAAAAAAAGAGAAACAGAGTACCTTTGCCACTCTGGGGAAGGGAAATAAAGTAATGTATGGAAGGGATTCAGATGGGATAATCTGGCGAGGTCCAGGCATGTAGATTTATTCAAACTGAGTTTATTGCACTTAGAAAAATGGGCTTTAAGAATACTTCTAATTGAAGCAGTGGACCATCTCGATAGCACTTGAGAAGTTTCATTATGTTCAGCAGTCTTATCAGAACACCAGACAGTAAAATTACTAGAAACCTAAATTCTATTTTCAATTATAAGATGCAATCTTTGTGTTAATTTGAAAAAAAATTAAGAAGTTTCAGCTCTATTTTATACAACCCCGAACTCATGTTCCTCGTTTGCTGTAGTGGCTTCAAAGGTATATGTTCGATTGTCTATTTGTGGGAGGAAGAGGGAAGATTTGAAGAGCCCTGCCATGGATTGGGGGAGCAGGGATCAATTTCATGCTCTTTTCATGTACACGGCTTCATAATTCATGGTTTTTCTTCGGTTTTGAATAGAATTACATGGCTGCTTTGTCAGGATCCTGGTTTGGGGTTCCTCATGTGGGAAAAGCCGTGACTTTGACCTCATGGCCTGATTTACAGTGGCACAGTTTCAGTCCCAAGAGAATGGTGTGTCTTGGAACCTTGCCTGTGAACACCGATGGCTTTAGAATCTCGCAGTTCATAAAACTTTGATCTGTTGTATTCAATCTTTTCTGCAGAAACAGAGAAACAAGATCTGCCATCTACTTCATTTTTCATTCTCAATGAGCTTATATAGGTAGATGACTGAGAACTGTATGGTTTCACCTGACTTTACTTTCCGTATTGATGCTTTCCTTTTGATCATAGGTGTGTCCCATCATTAAGCAATAATAGCAAAACAATATTTTATGAAGTTGAACACAGGCAGCACACTTTGTCCTTGCGCCATCAAATTTGCCACATGAATGAGTTCCCAGGGTTTTTTTTCCCCTTAGAAAATTTAAGCATTGTGTATCTTGACTAGCCAATGATTTAAGGGACTGAAATGTGTTTGGGATAAATGTCTCTTTTATGAAATTGGTCACTGTTTTGCAAAAATTAACCCAATTTGTTAAGAACTCCCTACTCAGGATGGTGAACTGTCAAATTTTTCAATTTAAAGTTGATACCTCTGAAATATATAGAGATATTTGGCCCATATAATTTCTGGTTTTATTGCTTAGGAAAGGAAAAAAAAAAATCAACAGGTCTGTTAAAAAGAAAAAGGTGGAGAAACTTGGATATTTCCTAATGCCCGAGGAGTAGGAGTGAGCGAGCTGCTCCGTCAGTCTTATTGTGATTGCCTTCTACAACCTCCTCTATGAGCAGGAAGGACTAAAGAAAACACTCGAGGAGGATAATTAAACATCTTCCTGCTATAATTTTACCCTGACATTGCGAGTCTTGGGCATCTCTGGAAATGGGCTCCTTCGCGGAAGATCGCACTTCTGGCCACTAGAGGGCAATGGCGCCCTTCTCCAACTTTGTGCATGGACCCCCATCTGCTTTTAAGGGCACCATGAAAAGCGGTTTTGTTACCACTACCCTTGTCTGGACCATTCCGCGGAGATCAAATTCAATCTAACTGTGGTTCAGGCTCCTGCTCCAGCAGATTGTAAGGATTAGCCTCTTGGTACTGGTGGATCTCTTACCTTAAGTCTCTTCTTCTCATCGTGGACTTTGCTAGAAAGTTGGAAAATCTTGTAACTTGAGCAATTGAGCAGAAGCCAGGGTGGGGGCTGGGCAGTCGAATAAACAAGGTTAGCTCCTTCAGCCAGCGATCTGGGGGGATTTGCTGGATTTTTTTTTTTTTTTTTTTTTTTCCTGGCAGGAAGACATCATTTCTGACTCCAAAGGGAACGGAATGAATAAAGAAGAGATATATTAGGGAGCGTGCTCTAATAACTGCCTATTCTTTCAAGAGCTTTTGAAGACATCTACAAGACATTTCTAATTTGCCAAAGAAGAATCTCATTTAGATCTTCGGTAAACACTTGGGGATATCGAGTTTTAATATAACAGTAAATGTTTTGCTATTACCTTTAAACCATTCTTGACACTGCTGTAGAATATCTAACTTTAGCAGGGAGTAAAATTTAATTCAAGATTGGTCCTTATGCACTGGAGCTTTATCACTTGATTTTTTTTTCTCTCTCCAGTGATATGGAAATTATGGCTTATGATTAAATTGCATATTTCAGGCTGCACGAATTTATATTTGTTACTGTTTGATAGTATCATTATGAAAGTTGAGAATGAAAGAAAAACTGGTACTATATTATAATTAAGAGGAAAGTGCCATTAAAAATAAGTATCGCGCGCTTTTCGGTGGGTGATCGCTAGTATTTTTTAAAACCGAGTCTGTTTGCCCAACTGGTGATTCAGCAGTGGAATTCTTTACAGCCTGGGCTGAGCTGAAATGCCAGGAGGGTTGATGAAGAAGAGATCAATGCGAATGGGTGATGGGAGACAGTATTAAGTCATGGGGTGACAGGAAGACAACGTTTTGTAAAGTGATGCCTACTTACCACTGGGCAGTTTATTTAACTTACACACAAAAAAGCAATTTGCAATTTTAAGTGCTTGTGAGCAATGCATGTCTCTTAGACTTGGAGATAAAGTTTCATTATTTGGCTCCACTATTCCTCAACTGTAGGATTCTGGGCATTCGTACCAAAGCAAAGTGTTCTCCAAGTCTGTAGGGTTAGGGTTTCTACTGAGGCAGAGGTCTTGGTACCTCAGGATATTACATGAGGTCTGAGCAAGAGAGAGAA